CCCCGGATTAAGGTTCGCCCCCGGATTAAGGTTCGCTCCCGGTTTAAGGTTCGCCCCCGGATTAAGGTTCGCCCCCGGATTAAGGTTCGCCCCCGGATTAAGGTTCGCCCCCGGATTATGGTTGGCCCCCGGATTATGGTTCGCCCCCGGATTAAGGTTCGCCCCCGGATTAAGGTTGGCCCCCGGATTATGGTTGGCCCCCGGATTAAGGTTGGCCCCCGGATTAAGGTTGGCCCCCGGATTAAGGTTCGCCCCCGGATTAAGGTTCGCCCCTGGATTAAGGTTCGCCCCCGGATTAAGGTTCGCCCCCGGATTAAGGTTCGCCCCCGGATTAAGGTTCGCCCCCGGATTAAGGTTCGCCCCCGGATTAAGGTTCGCCCCCGGATTAAGGTCCCCCCCGGATTAAGGTTCGCCCCCGGATTAAGGTTCGCCCCCGGATTAAGGTTCGCCCCCGGATTATGGTTCGCCCCCGGATTAAGGTCCCCCCCGGATTAAGGTCCCCCCCGGATTAAGGTTCGCCCCCGGATTAAGGTTCGCCCCCGGATTAAGGTTCGCCCCCGGATTAAGGTTCGCCCCCGGATTAAGGTTCGCCCCCGGATTAAGGTTCGCCCCCGGATTAAGGTTCGCCCCCGGATTAAGGTTCGCCCCCGGATTAAGGTCCCCCCCGGATTAAGGTCCCCCCCGGATTAAGGTTCGCCCCCGGATTAAGGTTCGCCCCCGGATTAAGGTTCGCCCCCGGATTAAGGTTCGCCCCCGGATTAAGGTTCACCCCCGGATTAAGGTTCGCCCCCGGATTAAGGTTCGCCCCCGGATTAAGGTTGGCCCCCGGATTATGGTTCGCCCCCGGATTAAGGTTCGCCCCCGGATTAAGGTCCCCCCCGGATTAAGGTTCGCCCCCGGATTAAGGTTCGCCCCCGGATTAAGGTTCGCCCCCGGATTATGGTTCGCCCCCGGATTAAGGTTCACCCCCGGATTAAGGTTCGCCCCCGGATTAAGGTTCGCCCCCGGATTAAGGTTCGCCCCCGGATTAAGGTTCGCCCCCGGATTATGGTTCGCCCCCGGATTAAGGTTGGCCCCCGGATTATGGTTGGCCCCCGGATTAAGGTTGGCCCCCGGATTAAGGTTGGCCCCCGGATTAAGGTTCGCCCCCGGATTAAGGTTCGCCCCTGGATTAAGGTTCGCCCCCGGATTAAGGTTCGCCCCCGGATTAAGGTTCGCCCCCGGATTAAGGTTCGCCCCCGGATTATGGTTGGCCCCCGGATTAAGGTTGGCCCCCGGATTAAGGTTGGCCCCCGGATTAAGGTTCGCCCCCGGATTAAGGTTCGCCCCTGGATTAAGGTTCGCCCCCGGATTAAGGTTCGCCCCCGGATTGAGGTTCGCCCCCGGATTAAGGTTCGCCCCCGGATTAAGGTTCGCCCCCGGATTAAGGTTCGCCCCCGGATTAAGGTCCCCCCCGGATTAAGGTTCGCCCCCGGATTAAGGTTCGCCCCCGGATTAAGGTTCGCCCCCGGATTATGGTTCGCCCCCGGATTAAGGTCCCCCCCGGATTAAGGTCCCCCCCGGATTAAGGTTCGCCCCCGGATTAAGGTTCGCCCCCGGATTAAGGTTCGCCCCCGGATTAAGGTTCGCCCCCGGATTAAGGTTCGCCCCCGGATTAAGGTTCGCCCCCGGATTAAGGTTCGCCCCCGGATTATGGTTCGCCCCCGGATTAAGGTCCCCCCCGGATTAAGGTCCCCCCCGGATTAAGGTTCGCCCCCGGATTAAGGTTCGCCCCCGGATTAAGGTTCGCCCCCGGATTAAGGTTCGCCCCCGGATTAAGGTTCACCCCCGGATTAAGGTTCGCCCCCGGATTAAGGTTCGCCCCCGGATTAAGGTTGGCCCCCGGATTATGGTTCGCCCCCGGATTAAGGTTCGCCCCCGGATTAAGGTCCCCCCCGGATTAAGGTTCGCCCCCGGATTAAGGTTCGCCCCCGGATTAAGGTTCGCCCCCGGATTATGGTTCGCCCCCGGATTAAGGTTCACCCCCGGATTAAGGTTCGCCCCCGGATTAAGGTTCGCCCCCGGATTAAGGTTCGCCCCCGGATTAAGGTTCGCCCCCGGATTATGGTTCGCCCCCGGATTAAGGTTCGCCCCCGGATTAAGGTTCACCCCCGGATTAAGGTTCGCCCCCGGATTAAGGTTCGCCCCCGGATTAAGGTTCGCCCCCGGATTAAGGTTCGCCCCCGGATTAAGGTTCGCCCCCGGATTAAGGTTCGCCCCCGGATTATGGTTCGCCCCCGGATTAAGGTTCGCCCCCGGATTAAGGTTCGCCCCCGGATTATGGTTCGCCCCCGGATTAAGGTTCGCCCCCGGATTAAGGTTCGCCCCCGGATTAAGGTTCGCCCCCGGATTAAGGTTCGCCCCCGGATTAAGGTTCGCCCCCGGATTAAGGTTCGCCCCCGGATTAAGGTTCGCCCCCGGATTAAGGTTCGCCCCCGGATTAAGGTCCCCCCCGGATTAAGGTTCGCCCCCGGATTAAGGTTCGCCCCCGGATTAAGGTTCGCCCCCGGATTATGGTTCGCCCCCGGATTAAGGTTCACCCCCGGATTAAGGTTCGCCCCCGGATTAAGGTTCGCCCCCGGATTAAGGTTCGCCCCCGGATTAAGGTTCGCCCCCGGATTATGGTTCGCCCCCGGATTAAGGTTCGCCCCCGGATTAAGGTTCGCCCCCGGATTAAGGTTCGCCCCCGGATTATGGTTCGCCCCCGGATTAAGGTTCGCCCCCGGATTAAGGTTCGCCCCCGGATTAAGGTTCGCCCCCGGATTAAGGTTCGCCCCCGGATTAAGGTTCGCCCCCAGATTAAGGTTCGCCCCTGGATTAAGGTTCGCCCCTGGATTAAGGTTCGCCCCCGGATTAAGGTTCGCCCCCGGATTAAGGTTCGCCCCTGGATTAAGGTTCGCCCCTGGATTAAGGTTCGCCCCCGGATTAAGGTTCGCCCCCGGATTAAGGTTCGCCCCCGGATTAAGGTTCGCCCCCGGATTAAGGTTCGCCCCCGGATTAAGGTTCGCCCCCGGATTAAGGTTCGCCCCCGGATTAAGGTTCGTCCCCGGATTAAGGTTCGCCCCCGGATTAAGGTTCGCCCCCGGATTAAGGTTCGCCCCCGGATTAAGGTTCGCCCCTGGATTAAGGTTCGCCCCTGGATTAAGGTTCGCCCCCGGATTAAGGTTCGCCCCCGGATTAAGGTTCGCCCCCGGATTAAGGTCCCCCCCGGATTAAGGTTCGCCCCCGGATTAAGGTTCGCCCCCGGATTAAGGTTCGCCCCCGGATTAAGGTTCGCCCCCGGATTATGGTTCGCCCCCGGATTAAGGTTCGCCCCCGGATTATGGTTCGCCCCCGGATTAAGGTTCGCCCCCGGATTAAGGTTCGCCCCCGGATTAAGGTTCGCCCCCGGATTAAGGTTCGCCCCCGGATTAAGGTTCGCCCCCAGATTAAGGCTCGCCCCTGGATTCAGGTTCGCCCCTGGATTAAGGTTCGCCCCCGGATTAAGGTTCGCCCCCGGATTAAGGTTCGCCCCCGGATTAAGGTTCGCCCCCGGATTAAGGTCCCCCCCGGATTAAGGTTCGCCCCCGGATTAAGGTTCGCCCCCGGATTAAGGTTCGCCCCCGGATTATGGTTCGCCCCCGGATTAAGGTTCACCCCCGGATTAAGGTTCGCCCCCGGATTAAGGTTCGCCCCCGGATTAAGGTTCGCCCCCGGATTAAGGTTCGCCCCCGGATTATGGTTCGCCCCCGGATTAAGGTTCACCCCCGGATTAAGGTTCGCCCCCGGATTAAGGTTCGCCCCCGGATTAAGGTTCGCCCCCGGATTAAGGTTCGCCCCCGGATTATGGTTCGCCCCCGGATTAAGGTTCGCCCCCGGATTAAGGTTCGCCCCCGGATTAAGGTTCGCCCCCGGATTATGGTTCGCCCCCGGATTAAGGTTCGCCCCCGGATTAAGGTTCGCCCCCGGATTAAGGTTCGCCCCCGGATTAAGGTTCGCCCCCGGATTAAGGTTCGCCCCCAGATTAAGGTTCGCCCCTGGATTAAGGTTCGCCCCTGGATTAAGGTTCGCCCCCGGATTAAGGTTCGCCCCCGGATTAAGGTTCGCCCCTGGATTAAGGTTCGCCCCTGGATTAAGGTTCGCCCCCGGATTAAGGTTCGCCCCCGGATTAAGGTTCGCCCCCGGATTAAGGTTCGCCCCCGGATTAAGGTTCGCCCCCGGATTAAGGTTCGCCCCCGGATTAAGGTTCGCCCCCGGATTAAGGTTCGTCCCCGGATTAAGGTTCGCCCCCGGATTAAGGTTCGCCCCCCGGATTAAGGTTCGCCCCCGGATTAAGGTTCGCCCCTGGATTAAGGTTCGCCCCTGGATTAAGGTTCGCCCCCGGATTAAGGTTCGCCCCCGGATTAAGGTTCGCCCCCGGATTAAGGTCGCCCCCCGGATTAAGGTTCGCCCCCGGATTAAGGTTCGCCCCCGGATTAAGGTTCGCCCCCGGATTAAGGTTCGCCCCCGGATTAAGGTTCGCCCCCGGATTAATGGTTCGCCCCCGGATTAAGGTTCGCCCCGGATTAAGGTTCGCCCCCGGATTATGGTTCGCCCCCGGATTAAGGTTCGCCCCCGGATTAAGGTTCGCCCCCGGATTAAGGTTCGCCCCCGGATTAAGGTTCGCCCCCGGATTAAGGTTCGCCCCCAGATTAAGGTTCGCCCCCTGGATTAAGGTTCGCCCCCTGGATTAAGGTTCGCCCCCGGATTAAGGTTCGCCCCCGGATTAAGGTTCGCCCCCGGATTAAGGTTCGCCCCCGGATTAAGGTCCCCCCCGGATTAAGGTTCGCCCCCGGATTAAGGTTCGCCCCCGGATTAAGGTTCGCCCCCGGATTATGGTTCGCCCCCGGATTAAGGTTCGCCCCCGGATTAAGGTTCGCCCCCGGATTAAGGTTCGCCCCCGGATTAAGGTTCGCCCCCGGATTAAGGTTCGCCCCCGGATTATGGTTCGCCCCCGGATTAAGGTTCGCCCCCGGATTAAGGTTCGCCCCCGGATTAAGGTTCGCCCCCGGATTAAGGTTCGCCCCTGGATTAAGGTTCGCCCCTGGATTAAGGTTCGCCCCTGGATTAAGGTTCGCCCCTGGATTAAGGTTCGCCCCCGGATTAAGGTTCGCCCCCGGATTAAGGTTCGCCCCCGGATTAAGGTTCACCCCTGGATTAAGGTTCGCCCCCGGATTAAGGTTCACCCCCGGATTAAGGTTCACCCCTGGATTAAGGTTCACCCCTGGATTAAGGTTCGCCCCTGGATTAAGGTTCACCCCTGGATTAAGGCGTCTCGTGAGGCTCTTGTAGTCCCCGGCACCAACGCCCCTCAGGCCAATGGAACCCCACTTAGGGCAGCAGCTTGTTTAGTCCCCAGCACCAACGCCCCTCAGGTGAGACTTGAACTCCTCGCAGGTGTGATCTATCTAGCCTCCATGTGCTGAGCTGATGACCTTGCGTGGTGCTTTTCCTCCCACTGCGTTTGTTCTGAAGGGGCATCTTGTTTACTCCGGAAGTTATGAACTTGTAGGGTAAATCAAGTCCCTTACCTCTTCGTCGTGTCCCCGCACTGATGTTTCCAGGTGATAGCCCTGCTGATGCGGGCGATTGGGTGGGCGGGAGCGGCAGTGCTGGCTTTGGAGACAATGAAGAGGCTGCTAGCGCCGACCAACAGATCTCGAGACGTCATTGTTGCACAGGCACTCAGGTCAGCAGAGGGGCAGGTGCTAAGTGCGAGGTAATTGCACTTACGCTTAAGTAACCAACAGGGCATGTGCTTTGACACATACTCTGATTCTTTTCCACTGTCCCGTGTGTTTTTTACTGTGTTGCCCAGGAATGGCCTGGTGCAGGTCCTGCTTGCGATCCTTGACTGGCGGGCAGGCGGAAAGGCTTCCCTGGCTGCCCGGATGCGGTGGAGCGAATCAGAGGCAGCGGTGGGGCGAGTTCTGGCAGTGGAAATCCTGAAGCTGCTGGGAACTGATGGGGCCTACTCCATCCGTGTGCAAGAGATTCTCAATGGCTCTGAGGTGAGATTCTCAATGGCTCTGAGGTGAGATTCTCAATGGCTCTGAGGTGAGATTCTCAATGGCTCTGAGGTGAGATTCTCAATGGCTCTGAGGTGAGATTCTCAATGGCTCTGAGGTGAGATTCTCAATGGCTCTGAGGTGAGATTCTCAATGGCTCTGAGGTGAGATTCTCAATGGCTCTGAGGTGAGCTTCTCAATGGCTCTGAGGTGAGCTTCTCAATGGCTCTGAGGTGAGCTTCTCAATGGCTCTGAGGTGAGCTTCTCAATGGCTCTGAGGTGAGCTTCTCAATGGCTCTGAGGTGAGATTTTCAATGGCTCTGAGGTGAGCTTTGCAACAGCGCTGGGGTGACGTGACGAATCTGGCAAACAATACACAAACTCTCAAACACCACCTCTTCCAGTTATTCCAGTTATTCCAGGCTGGAATATTTCCTGACTTCATCACCTTCCCTTCTTCCTCCCGCCGCCCCTGCCCCCAACCCCCCACCCCCGCACCAGGTGTGGAGGGCGTTCAAGGATCAGAAGCACGATCTCTTCCTCCCCACCAACGTGCACTCATTGGGTGAAATAAGACAGGTACTGCGACGCCTCAAACCCACTCCTTTCCCAACCCCCTCCACCCACCTCCCCCACCTCTCACCAGGTGTGGCGGGCGTTCAAGGACCAAAAGCACGACCTCTTCCTCCCCACCAACGTGCAATCATCCGGTGCCGGTGTGGCCGGCCTGCTGCAGGGGGCTGGCTCTGCTGCCCTCGCCCTCCCTGCCCCTGCCGCCCTTCCCACCACCGCTGCCCCTGCAGCTGTTCCTGTTGCAGTTCCTGCTGCTAACCTCTCCTCTTCTCCTCTTCATCCTGTGGAAGCTACCAGAAGCACTTCTGCTTTTACTGCTGCAGTGCCAACCCATCACTCACCAGCCCCCACCGGCACTCATCTCCCGCATTCCTCGCACTCCTCTCCCTCCCTCCTGCCCCTATCCTCCATGCCCACTCCCCTCTCTCCCGCACATCCGGTACCCACTCACTCTCATCGTGCACACACTCCCTTCGCTCCCTCCCAACCTGCTTCTACCGCACTTCATCCCTCTCCTGCACTAACAGTGCCTCTCTCCACACCTACAGCAGCTTTCTCGCCCTCTTCTTCCTTCCCAGCCACCGTCCCAACCACTGCATCTCACCCGAACCACTCCCAAGCCTTGGACCCGCTCTTAGGTTCGGCACCAGGCCTGGCGTCAGCAGCAGAAGGGGCACCTGGGTTTCCAGGTACGGGACGGGGTGTAGCTGGTTCAAGAGGAGCCGTGCCCGCAGAAACACGCGCCTCTGCAGGGGGGGTTCTAGGGGCAGTGGAAAGCGCAGCAGTAGGGGCAGGATTCAGTGGTGCCACTGCAATATTAGCGGCAGGTTCGCCAGCACCTGCTGTAGTCTCAGCCTCGGATTTTGATCGTGTGGTGGAGCAGAAAATGCTAGGAGGGGGCGTTGGTGGGGCTGCTGCCGGCCAGGTGATTGGTCAGGTGGTTCAGGTGGCTGGGCAGGCTGAGCGACAGAATGAGGGGAAGGCAAGGTTGGAGGATGAAGGGTTTTTGGTGCTTGGGAGGCGGGAGACGGGGGGTGTGGATACTGGGGGTGTGGATACTGGGAATGAGAATTATGGGGGTGAAGAGGAAGAGGAGGTTGCAAGGCAGCCCATAGGGCTGGATGCTGCCCCCTTGTAGATTCTCACTAGCGTGGTTTTATAATGTGCGTTCTCTGTAGCAAATGCTCTTGTATTTCAACCCAAATGTATTTGCACATATGCAATCTGCGCAATGATTGCTTGCCAAAGTTGTTGCGTGTATACCTCTACAGTTAAGTGTAGCTATTAAACTTTAACTTTGCCAGGGACATGCAACTCCCGCCAAAGCAGGTCTCGCCACGGTTTCTCCTCGCCCCACGTCACTCCCCTTCGAAAGTTTGTCAAATCGAAACCCTAATTTTCGGTTTCACCACGTTTTCACGTGTAGGAGGCCAAATCAGTTTTGTGATTTTCTTAGGAATCTCCGTTGTTCGTCGCCAACCTAGCAGCTCAGGGGCAGTCTGCCTTCTCCGTTGCCGCCTACCTCTTCCCGTTCCGAGATTCTCCGCCGGCATGGCTTCCGCGCTTAGGGCGTCGCTGGCGCCCGCGGGGCTCGGCGCGGCCGCGCTCTCCGCATCTCCGATCGGCGGGAGAAAAGAGCACCTCGGCGCTTCTCTTCGCGCGTCCACCGCCGGGTCTCACGGCAGAGTGACCATGGCGTTGCGCGCGCGCCGCGACCCGCGGCTGATCGCGCCGGTAAACGACAAATTCCTCCCGTGGCTGGCGGACGTCGCGCGGTCCGACGAGGGGCGCGCGCAGATCTCCGACGCGGCGAGCGGGCGGTTCGACGGGCCGCCGCTGCTGGACCTCGCCGCGGCGAAAATGGCGGCGACGCAAATGGCGGCGCCCGCGCAAGTGGAGCGCGGGGGAGGTTACGGCGAGCACCGGCCGCGACGCCCGCCGCCGGATCTGCCGTCGCTGCTGCTGAACAGCCGAATCGTCTACGTCGGCATGCCGGTGGGTGCTCGGATGTGCAAGGCAGAAGAAAGCACAAGTGGTGCGGGTGCCGGAGCAGCTGTGAAGCACAGGTGAAGCAGCTGAGCCGTAACGGAGCTGCCAGAGAGCACAGCTGCTTTGTCCGCGCTGCCTCATGCTCCCTGCTCTCCCCTTGCGCCCGCCCCCTTCCAAAGCGTCCTGTTCTGCTCGCTCCTCTTAGCCACCCGATCCCTGCTGCTTGCAGCTCACACAGCAATAACAGAGCTGGTGATCGCGCTTCTGCTCTACCTACAGTGCCTCATGCTCCCTGCTCCCCCCTCCCTCCCATACCGCTCTCCTCGCTCCCCTTTGCCTCCGTCTTACCCCTCTGCTTGCAGCCCGCAGTGACAGAGTTGGTGATCGCGCAGTTGCTGTTCCTGCAGTGGCTGGTGCTCCCTCTGTTCCCCCCTCCCGGCCGCTCTCTTTCTCCCATACTGCCCTCCTCACTTTCCATTACCACCCGCTTCCCCACTGCGTGCAGCTGCCAGCAGTAACGGAGTTGGTGATAGCGCAGCTGCTGTACCTGCAGTGGTTCACGCTTCTTATCCTCTACTTATCCTCTACTTATCCTCTACTTATCCTCTTCTTATTTCCTTCACCACCCCGTTTCCCCTGCGTGCAGCTGGTGCCAGCGGTGACTGAGTTGGTGAAAGCGCAGCTGCTGTACCTGCAGTGGATGGACCCGCGCCAGCCCAGTCGTTCATCCTCCCCCCATCCCCCCGAACCCCCCTTCTCCCCACTGCGTGCAGTTGGCCCCAGCAGTAACGAAGTTGGTGATAGCGCAGCTGCTGTACCTGCAGTGGCTGATGTTTCATGTTCCCTCCACTACCCTCTTCCCCTACCACCCCCAGCTCGTGCCAGCAGTAGCGGAGTTGGTGATAGCACAGCTGCTGTACTTGCAGTGGCTGGACCCGCGTCAGCCCACCTACGTCTGCCTCAACTCTCTCGTCTTCCTCCCTCCCCTCTTCCCCCACCACCCGCAGCTGGTCCCAGCAGTGACAGAGCTGGTGATAGCGCAGCTGCTGTACCTGCAGTGGATGGACCCGCGTCAGCCCACGTACGTCTACCTCAACTCCACTGGAACCTCCCGCGCTGACGGCGAAACGGTGAGCCGAGGCCGCATGGCAAGGTGACTTAGCAGCATGCATGCGTTTGTTGCTGGCCATATACTCAGCCGTGTGGGTGTAGCTGTAATCCGCTGATTTTTCTTCCCCTTTTTCTCGCCCCCTTTCCCCTCTCCCCTCCTACTCCCCTTCCTTCCCCCTTCTTTCTTCACTTCCTCTGCCCCTCCCCTCCCCCTCATTTCCATGAATTCGAGCAGGTGGGCATGGAGACAGAGGGGTTCGCCATCTACGACACCATGATGCAGATGAAGAACGAGGTACGGTGCAGAGGAGTGAGGTACGGTGCAGAGGAGTGAGGTACGGTGCAGAGGAGTGAGGTACGGCGCAGAGGAGTGAGGTATGGCGCAGAGGAGTGAGGTGCTGTGCACATGAAGAATGAGTTAGGAAGGCAGAGCAGTTAGCAGTTGAGATGATTTGATGCGATGTCACTAAGTTCTTCTTTCCTTTGGAAACGCTCCCCACCCCTGCCCGTCCTGCCTCCCTTTCTCCCCCTGCTGCCTCCGCTGCTCCCCTCCCTGCTGGCCCCCACTCCTCCCCCTCCTCCTTCCTGATGCAAACAGTGGGCGTGGGGTCGGCGATAGGCCAGGCGTGCATGCTGCTGGCGGCGGGGGAGAAGGGGCGGCGCTTCATGCTGCCACACGCCACCGCCATGATCCAGCAGCCACGCCTGCCCTCCACCTTCCTTTGCTCCCTCTGCCCCCCTCCCTACACCCCCTCCTGTCCCCCTTAAACCCCCCTGCTGCCTCCTTCTGCCCCCTACTGCCCCTTCATGCGCTCCTCCCCCCCCCGTTCCCACTCCTCCAGATGCAAACAGTGGGCGTGGGGGCGGCCATAGGCCAGGCGTGCATGCTGCTGGCGGCGGGGGAGAAGGGGCGGCGCTTCATGCTGCCACACGCCACCGCCATGATCCAGCAGCCACGCCTGCCCTCCACGGGACAGATGTCAGCCATTGATGTGCACATCCGCGCCAAGGAGGTCCGTTGATTCAGGAGTCATTTGGTGGTCAATGTGTTGGTACTAATGGTGTTGTTTTTATTCATGCTATCAATGCTCATGCCTGCCCTCTCTCTTCTCTCCTCTCCTCTCCTCTCCTCTCCTCTCCTCTCCTCTCCTCTCCTCTCCTCTCTTCTCTTCTCTTCTCCCCTCCCCTCCCCTCCCCTCCCCTCTTCTCCTTTCCTCTCCTCCCCTCTCCTCTCCCCTCCTCACCTCTTATCTCCTCTCTCCTCCCCTCCTCTCCTCTCCCCTCCTCTCCCCTCATCTCCCTTCCTCTCCCCTCGTCTCCCCTCCTTTCCCCTCCTCTCCTCTCCCCTCCCCTCCGCTCCGCTGCCTATCGCAGGTGGTGAACAACAGGGACACTCTTGTCACGCTCCTTGCCCGCCACACAGGCAATGTGCGTTACACTCTCTAATTCTTCATTCTGTACTCCTTGAGTCCTTGTTCAAGTTGATGCCCATTCACCGCACTCCACTCCACTCCACTCTACTCCACTCCACTCCACTCAACCCCTCTCCACCTCACTCCTCCCTGCAGTCATTTGAGAGAACAGTCTGACATGACAATGAAGGGCGGCCCAATTGTGGGAGCCTACATGCACCCCACCTCACCGCCCCCCATCCCACCACACTCCATCTCTCAGCACCCCATCTCTCAGCACCCCATCTCTCAGCACCCCATCTCTCAGCACCCCATCTCTCAGCACCCCATCTCTCAGCACCCCATCTCTCAGCACCCCATCTCTCAGCACCCCATCTCTCAGCACCCGGTCTCACAGCACCCCATCTCTCAGCACCCATCTCTCAGCACCCCATCTCTCAGCACCCCATCTCTCAGCACCCCATCTCTCAGCACCCCATCTCTCAGCACCCGGTCTCACAGCACCGCACTCTCAATTGCACCATTATCTTGTACGCTTCTCTTCTTTCTCTTTTCTTCCCGCCAGTCATTTGAGAAGATAGCCAAGACGATGGAGCGCCCGTATTACATGAACCCACAGAGGGCTCTCGAGTTTGGAGTGATTGACAAGGTGAGTGGGTGTGTCCGCTCCGCACATCGCCTTAGGTGTTTCTAGTGGGTTAGTGCACTTGCTTTTGGAATGGTCAACACAGTGAGGGGTGTTTGTGCTGCCTGGCAAGTGGTGCCTTTAAGCCTGTCTTGAATAACAAGGTGAGGTGGTGAGGCTTTAACTCCTCACTGTGTGCTGCATGTGTGCGTGCAGATCCTGTGTTTTGAGTCGACTCAAAAGGCATGTGTGCGTGCAGATCCTGTGTTTTGAGTCGACTCAAAAGGCATGTGTGCGTGCAGATCCTGTGTTTTGAGTCGACTCAAAAGGCATGTGTGCGTGCAGATCCTGTGTTTTGAGTCGACTCAAAAGGCATGTGTGCGTGCAGATCCTGTGTTTTGAGTCGACTCAAAAGGCATGTGTGCGTGCAGATCCTGTGGCGTGGCCAGGAGACCATGACCAAGACACTGTCAGCCAAGGCCTTTGAGGTGCCTTGGATATAACCTCTCACTCATCTCTGCCTGCTGCACCTGTGTCTTCCCAACCCTCTCGCCCCTTCTCCTCCGTGTGCGCGATCAGATCCTGTGGCGAGGCCAGGAGGCCATGGCGAAGACACTGTCAGCGGAGGCTGTTGAGGCATGTCGAAGATGTACCCCTCTCTTGCTCCTGTCTCTCCCAATTCACTCTGCTGTGGTGCGTGCGCGTTTCCCTCCAGATCCTGTGGCGAGGCCAGGAGGCCATGGCGAAGACACTGTCAGCGGAGGAGTGGGACAAGGGGGCCGGCATTCGCATGATGGAAAAGCCTGCTGCGCCCACTGCCTGACACTCCCACACTCGCACACATGCTTGCTGCTCCGCTTTACTAGTTTTTTGCTACTGCATGGTTCTATAGAGTGCGTGCTGAGTAGGTGCTATGGTATGTGCAGTGCAGGCTTGTTGCCTATGTCAAATCTGTTGTATCATTTCTAATATCACACACGAAAGTGGAGTGAATGGCTTTGGCTAAGAGCTGTTTATAACGGAACTTTCTCAGATACCGTAAGAAACATTCCCATGAGCTATGTACAGTACAGTGCCTCCTCTGAAAGTGCAACCAGTAGATGAACCCTTACACACACCGCATGTGACCAACTACTTCCCGACGTCGTTGTTCTCCCTTCCCCACCCCCTTTTTCCAACTTTCCCACCCCTCTACCCACTCTCCTCTCCCTCTCATATCTCCCCTCGCTTTCATTAGTTCCAATCCAACTCCTCTGCCCATATTCTTTCTCTTCTGCATCCAATCCAATCCCCCTGCTTCGACTTCCTCCTCCCCTCTCCTCGTCACCACCAGCTGCTGCAGCCGTTTACTCAGCTCTAGCTCCTCTCTCCAAACCTCTTCTCCTCTCATTCATTCCTTCCCGCCACCTCGTCCTCCTCGCCCCTCTTCCCCACCACCAGCTGCTGCAAGCGCTTTCTCAGCTGCAGCTCCTCGGCCAGCCGTACGCGCAGTCGTGACAGCCGGGGCAGCTCTTGCTGCATGGGAGGGGAGAAAGCGATTTGGATACAAGGTAGCGAAGTGTGAGGCACGAAAAGGGTGTGTGCTTTATCCACAACATCACCTCCTCGGCCAGTCGTACGCGCAGTCGTGACAGCCGGGCACCTCTTGCTGCATGCGAGGGAAAGGGCGATATGGAGAGACGGTAGTGAGGTGGGAGGCACGAGAGGGTGTGTGCTTTGAGTGAATTCACTCCACAGCTCCACCTCCTCGCCCAGTCGTACCTGCAGTTGTGACAGCCGGGGAAGCTCTTGCTAAATGGGAGGGGAGAAGGCGATTTGTAGGCATGAAGAGTGGGGGGAGGGAGAGAGGGGACATAAGGAGGGGCAGTTGAGTGCATTGGTAGGAAAGCATTGGGGGCTCATGAAAAACACTTACTGCAGCTGGGCAGCACTAAACCCAAGCCCTCCACTCACCCCCGGACCTCCCCACGGTAATTCACGAGTAGACTCAGAGTAACTCACCCCAAGCACTCTACCCACTCGCCCACCTCCCACTCACCCCCCAGGCGGCAGGCGAGGCAGTGAGGCCCTGAGCTTGCTCCATGAGAGTTGATCCCGAGGCGACAAGGCGGCTGGTGCTGTGCTAGGGCGAAGGTGCACTGGCAACACTTGACATGGCAATGACAAGACACCTTATGGCATCTCAGGGCATCTCACCCACCCCAACCGTCTCTCACCCCCCAGGCAGCAGGCGAGGCAGTGAGGCCCTGAGCTTGCTCCATGAGAGACGATCCCGAGGCGACGAGGCGGCTGGTGCGGGCGGCGTGGACGGCGGTCATGAGGGCGGCAAAGTCGTCCTGATGCTCCACCTCCACTGGCAGCCACTCGTCCGTCCCTGATTGGTCCAGAGAGCTCATCAGCCAATCCTGAGGGCAGCAAAATGGTAAAGAATGTTACAGGTAGCAGTCTCTGGCGTTTCACGCCCTAGCGTGCGAAAAGAGGAGAATGGAGTGAACCAACACAAGAATTCTGTGTAAGTAGAAAGGTCAGGCTGTAAAGGCATGTTGCCCATGTTGCCACACGCACCCAGTTGTCGTTGAGGAGTAGCAGCATGTCAGCGGCGGAGTTGATATTCTCTGTCAGAGGCTCCAACGAGCTCAGCACCAGCGCGTTCCCCAGTGCCGCGTGCTCCTGCACCAGGTTACCGGGTTACCAGGAAGTGGAAACATCAGAAGATCGGGTTACCAGGGAGCTGGGTTACCAGGAAAAAGCAGTGCAGACAGCGTTAGGGAGGTGTCCGAGACGAGACGAGACGAGACGAGAGACATCTCAGAGACGTAATGCTGCTTCAAGCAGCCTGGAGCTCTAGCAGTGAAATCGGCCCCGAGGAAATCCCATGGATCAGGAAGGTGAATCAAGACCGGAGGCTCAGGAAGAATCAAGGTGATCCTTACCGGTCGCTGCCTGTCACTCACCTTCCTGAGCTGCAGTTCCAGCTCCATGCTGGTAACCAGCCGCTCTTCGTCAACAGCAGCCATGACTGTGTTCCACTTGGCGCGAATCTCCTCATCCATGCTCTTCGCAGAGCAGCTCGCATCGTTCGGATTTATCACGTTACAAATCGAGGCCTGCATGGCTGCTGAATCTACACTACGCGATTCCTGCCCAGTGCCTCCGTGAACCACGATGTCTCTCCCATAGTTCGGATTCCTCACGTTGCGATTCGCGACCTGTAAGGCTGCCATATTTTCACTGCGCGATGCCTGCCCAGTACCTCCGTGAACAACGATGTCTCTAGAACTAGTAGCCGCATCGGCCCTGCTGGGAGGAGGTCTATTGCGGTTTCGGTTCATGGTAACGGCTCGTCTGGGGAAATGAAAGCCTATCAGAATGATATAGTACGTATGCGACACCGATTGCGAAGGAATGGGAAAAAACTGGAGCGCAGACAAGTTTAGCACAAGTGCATGCTCCACTTGAAGGAGTTCAGGGTCATCACCTCCAGTATTACACCTCTACAAGTCACACCCTTTACCGTCATTTGCTTTGTCCCATGGAATTTGGGAGCATGCCGTATGTACTCCTCTTGCTTTTGTGCGATGCGTTATTTTGGATCTCTTGAAAAAACGTCCTAGAACCTATCGAGCTCGCGCGGTGACCGGTGGAGTTCACGAAAACAAATCTCGAGGTGAATCCGTCGCGCGTTTTACGAAAGAATGTGATCCACGGTACCATCAGACGCGATAACGAGACTACCTTTAAGATACAATGAATAACATGCATAATATTACAGCTGTCATGCACCACACCGAGGGACACACCAACCAGCAGCTCTCGGTTCGCCGCGTGTCCAAGCACCTCCTGGAGTCAAACATGTGGCTCGCAGCGCGCGCAGGCGCTTTTTCCGCGTACATCGCCCTGGGGAAAGGCTCGGGGGAAAGATGCGGCTGAGTTGGCATTTCACGTGGAGGTGCGCTGCCGAGGGGGGACAGGGGAGATCATTTGTTCCCCGAGGGGGCGAACTTGTTTCTTGGGGAGAAGGGGGCTTGGGTGGCGCGGCAAGAAACGGGAAGCTGAATTGAGGTTGGATCGAAGCAAAACAAGCCATAACTGGAATTTCGGAAATCGATCCATCTTCTTGCTGCCTGCTGCCTGTTTTCTGTTGCCTGCCAGTTACCACCACTGTCTCGGGCGTTTTCCTGAACTAGTTGCGCGTTGAGTTATTCATTTCTCAAGCATTCTCCGTCATCTGTGATTGTCGCCGTCGTCGCAAAGCGTCGTTACGAGTCGCAATGACGTGGTCCGAATATGCGATGCTCGCAGCGTCCATCGGCCTCCCCATCGGGCAGGGCTTCCTCTCCGCGACGCTCTTCGGCGGCGGCGATTCGCGTGAGTCGCGGCTGCTTCAATCCCCTCGCAAAGTTTTATTATCCCCACGCGTAGCTGATCATGCCAGGTTGTCATGTCACGGATTTGAAGTACGCTGCGCCCTTCGTCCTCCCCTAGGTTGCGCATTTTGCTCTATGGCAATCACTTTTGAGAATTATTAGAAAGCTTCCGAGGAGTCATCCCAATGCCCTCATCATTCGTCTTATTATTCTCTTTCACTGATCGCTTATGCGTGTCGTCAAAACTTCTCGCAAACATGCTTGCTATCTCAGTCGCAACCGTAACTGTTGCCACGTACACCACTCCGTTCCGTGTCCTCGTTACAGCATGATACGCAGCCTCGACAAACCCTTTCAATTTCGTCCAATGCTTATCAAGTCTACACCACCCTTGTCGCTGTACCCAATGCAGCATGGTACAGGAGCCTGGACAAGCCCTCGTGGACCCCACCGGTGAGTGCGTGGGCTGAAAAAATGGAGCAGTGGGGGGCAGCAGAGGGTGGTTTGGGGCATGACACAGTAGATGCGAGTAGCTATGACATGATCCAGCATGGAAACAATTGAGCAAGAAAACGTTGTTTCACTGGCGCTCAGTCAGTTCCTCCGTTAAGATGCGTCTCCGTCCCTGTGTCCCTTGCAACTCCGTCCCTGTGTCTGTCGGTCTCTGTCTTCTCTGCCTCGGACCCTGGTCCGTCTCTGCTACTGTCCTTGCCTTTATCTCTGTTGCTCTCTGTGTATCTGTCTGTCCCATGTACAGGGGTGGGTGTTCCCAGTGGTGTGGATCAACCTCTACATCATGATGGGCGTCGCGTAGCGTAGCGGGTGATTTTCTAGCCGACTAAAAAAAATATCTGTCTCTCCCTCTGCCTCTCTCCCTCTGTCCCTATTGCTTGAAACATGAGCAGGGGTGGGTGTTCCCAGTGGTGTGGATCAACCTCTACATCATGATGGGCGTCGCTGCTTGGCTCGTGTGGCTGCAAGGAGGTACGCAATACCCACAAAAGGCTGTTATGCCTTCATTTCCTCCCCTCACACACCCTGCCTCCCCTGTCCCTCTCTCTGTTCCACGTACGCTCTGCTGCCTTTGTGTCACACACGTTGACTGCCCTGGTTCCTCTATTGCGCATTGGTCGCTCCAGTTTGCTTCACACGAAATGCGTCAGTCTCTCATTGACTCTTCGCGTCACACACTTGTGTGCGAACCTTCATGCTGCCTCTGTGCTATGACCATGCAGGATTCTCTGTGCAAGCTCTTCCGCTGGGCATATACCTGTTTCAGGTAACCTGAACAATGTCCCTCCCTACTCAGTTTCCATCTCTTACTCTTCCCTCCCTCCCACCACCCACCCGCTCCGCTACCCCCCCGCTCACTCTCTTCTTTGCTATCTCATGACTATTCTCCGTGCCTTTTGTTCCAGCATTCGCGTTCTTCACACAATATGCAGCAGCATGGATACATACAGACCAAGGTGTTTGCACAATCCGTACTTTGAATTGCCGCTCATGATCATGAGTACTTCTGAACAATCTTCCACTCATGATCTGCCACTCCGCTGACGTCTGCCCCTGTGTGTCGCTGCACACCAGTTGCTGCTCAACTTCCTCTGGACGCCACTCTTCTTTGGCATGCACAAGATTGTGAGTGGTGCAGCTCGGTTGGTGGCTATGGGAGGCTAGCGGGGTGGTAGTGGGGTGGTAGTGGGGCGGTAGTGGGGTGGTAGTGGGGCAGTAGTGGGGCGGCTAGTGGGGTGGGACGATGAGAGGCATTTGGGCAGCGGGCAATCTCTGAAAACTCTCCAAAATCGTCTACAACTGGAAGGATAGTCGAGTGGAGCAGCATAAATGAGTGGCCGGCTCTTGGAGGCTAGTCCATGCATGTACCCCTGCCCTCCCGCACAGTGCGTGCTGCTGTGGCTGTCGGTCTTCAGCACCATCGTGGTCTTCTGGCCCGTCCGTCAGGCTTCTCACACGCCTTTCTCAAACCCCAAATGTCCCCATTCCTTCCTCGTGCCTGCAGGACTGGGCACTAGCAGAGATAGTGCTGCTGTGGATGGCGGTGTTGGTCACCACCATCGTCGTCTTCTGCCCCGTCAGGCCTTTCCCACGTGCCTCTACCAAACCCCACATTTCCCCTCTCCCCCACCTCGTCCCTGCAGGACTGGGCGCTGGCGGAGATAGTGCTGTTGTGGATGGTGGTCTTCTGGCCTGTCAGGCTTTCCACGCGCCTCTTTGAAAACCCCAAATTCCTCTCCCTTCGACATCCCAAACCCCTGCAGGACTGGGCACTGGCAGAGATAGTGCTGCTGTGGCTGTCAGTGTTCAGCACCATCGTTGTCTTCTGGCCTGTCAGCAAGCTCGCCTCCATTCTCCTCTGGCCCTACATCGTCTGGTAAGTAACCACCCGCACTGCACCCTCTCCGCTTCCCACGTTCTCCTTCCGTGTGACCTACTTCTGAGTCAACTCAAATGTCACCTCAGCAAGCTCGCCTCCTTCCTCCTCTGGCCCTACATCGTCTGGTAAGTAACCACCCGCGCCCTAGCGCGTCCCACCTTCTCCCGTCTCGACATCACCAATCCTGCCGAGGTGCCTCAGAGGTCGCCCATCGGTCACTGTTTACTCTCTTTGCATTGCTGCATTTCTAGCTACTTGGTCGCTCAGCCTTCACCACTCACACCCTTCACCACTCACACCCTTCACCACTCACTCCTTTACCACACACCACCCCTCTTAACCCCTCCACAGGGCATCCATCGCCACGAGTCTCAACTGGTACATCTTCCTGCACAACGCTCCCACCCCTGGTGCCGATGGCCTTGCCCAGCCGGTTAGATACTTCGAGGTAACTGTTTAAGTCACCTCCTTTACCGCATACTACCTCTCTCAACCCCTGTCTTCCCCCCAACAGGGCATCCATCGCCACGAGTCTCAACTGGTACATCTTCCTGCACAACGCTCCCACGCCCGGTGCTGACGGCCTTGCCCAGCCCCTGCGCTCCTCGGACTGAGCATAGGGAGTGCAGAGAGGGCATGGATGTGCCAGCCTGTGCTTGTGTTGTCAGGCGTCTTATAGATCCTGCCTCACATACCTGTGCAGACCCTCCGCTCCTCCGACTGAGCATAGGGGGTATAGAGAGGACATGTGATGTGCCACACTGTGCTTGTGCGGTGCTGTATAGATCCTGAAATACCGTACCTGTGCAGTGCAGCCCCTCCGCTCCGCGGGCCGAGGATAGAGGATAGAGGGAGTGTGACATTGTTCTTGCTCACATTCGAGACGACTCACACGACGTTCTGGGTCGGCTCAAAGGGCTCGAGCATTTCCTCTGATTCGCGGGTTGGGTATCGTCGAGCAAGGGTGCGTGGCACATTCTGCTTTATCAGAGCGTGTTCCTATCCTCGTATCAAGACAACCTCATATCAGGCTCACACTGAAAATTCCCCTAAACCCAAAACCTCTCGCTAGTTTTACCAGGCAAAAGGTACATTCTTGATACGAGGTTTCCTGATATGAGGCCGTAGGAACACGCCCTCAGGGTATTTTGTGGATGAACTGTGTACACCTAGGGTCGTATGTTAATGAAAGTACCGGTACACGGTAGTTCTATGATGAAATTGCGAAGTGAGAAGCTGTTGGCAGGGTGTGATGATGGCGGGGTATGTCAAGCGGCGAGAGCTGACAGCAACCCTAAACCCGAGTAAAGCATGGTTATTTTCAAGTTCAAGATTCTTGAACTTGAAATCGTCAAAAACAGGGTTACCCTACTTTGTTTGAGGAAACTCTAGCGACTCTGGGACAACGCCTAGCGACACTCTCTGCTCATTGGCTTTTGTGCACAATCGCAAAACAGAACCGAACGTCGCTCAGGTTGGCCCACTGTTTGGCTCTTACATATCTTGAACACCTAGTAGTACTCACGATCGGCCTAGTCCCTCGCGTAAGTAGAAAGCCAGTGCGGCATCAGCTAGTTCCCCTGACCGCGTTTTTTACGGCAACTGGCGTCACTCATGCTGTCTCGCCAATAGCTGGACAGCACAAGCCTAGTGTCACACACGATATTTACATACATTTTAGCGTCACTCACACGGAACGTGAGTCACAAACGAGTGCTTCACAATGCTACCCCACGTTTAGCGCGCGACGTCATCCGCGCTCTCCCTCGCCACCCGCGCCTGTCCTCTTCACTCGCGCCTACCCTCGTCACTCGCGCCTGCCCTATTCACTCGCGCCTGCCCGGGATTCCGTGCTTCCCCTCGTCATGCGCTACCCTTCGTCACCCGCGTGACGCTTCGTCACGCGCGTTTCCCTTCGTCACGCGCGATTCCCTTCGTCACGCGCATTTCCGCTGCGTCGCGCACGTGCCTTCTCGTCACGCGCGCTTCCCCTCGTTGCGCGCTCTCCTCCCCTCGTCACGAGCGTTTCCCCTCGTTACGTGCTATCCTCCCCTCGTCACGCGCGCTTCCACCCGTTACGCGCACTCCTCCCCTCGTCACGTGCTCAACCATCACTCGCGATCTTCCGTATATCACTAGCTGAAGCCGACGTCACGCGCATGTGTCGTTGCCCCAGTTGCTCCTCGATCCCCTCGCCTCCCGTCGTCGCCTCCGCCACCCCAATTGGGAAGCGTTTGTCCTTATCGCCACTACCCACGTCGCCATCGACACCATCGTGTGTAGCAACTCCCCCATACGCCCTCGCTCCTTCCAGCCGCAGTGAGTGCATTCTGATGTGAGGGGCAGAGCGGGAGGGACAGAGGGGGATGGACAGCTGAGGGGGGGATGGTGTCACAGTGAAAGAATGATTGGGGGGCGGGGGACGGGAAGGGAACGGGCGGGGGAGATGAGAAGGACAGAAGGGGAGAGACAGAGGGGGGAGGAACAGGGGGGAGGACAGAGGGGGAGAAACAGAGGGGGAAGGACAAATGGGGAGAGACAGAGGGGGAAGGACACAGGTGGAGAGACAGAGGGTGAAGGGCCGAGGGGGAGAGACAGAAGGGGAAGGACGGAGGGGGAGGAACAGAGGGGGAGGGGCAGAGATTGAGAGACAGAGGGTGAGAGCAGGTACTTCCCTCACTCCCTCTCCCCGTCGACCTCACTTCCCCCTAATTGTTTACACCCCTCTTTATTTTGACCAATCTCTCTTTCTCCCACCAGCTCTGTTTACCCCCCAATCTATTCTCCTTTGCCTCACCTGCTTCCCCCCTCCCTCCTGCCCTGCTTCCCCCATCCCTCTGCCCTGCTTCCCCCCTCCCTCCGCCCTGCTTCCCCCCTCCTTCTGCCATGCTTCCCCCATCCTTCTGCAATGCTTCCCCTCCCCTTCTGCCATGCTTCCCCCCTCCTTCTGCCATGCTTCCCCCCTCCTTCTGCCATGCTTCCCCCATCCCTCTGCCCTGCTTCCACCCTCCCTCCGCCCTGCTTGCCCCATCCCTCTGCCATGCTTCCCCCCTCCCTCTGCCCTGCTTCCCCCCTCCCTCCGCCCTGCTTCCCCCCTCCCTCCGCCCTGCTTCCCGCCTCCCTCCGCCCTGCTTCCCCCCTCCCTCCGCCCTGCTTCCCCCCTCCCTCCGCCCTGCTTCACCCCTCCCTCCGCCCTGCTTCACCCCTCCCTCCGCCCTGCTTCCCCCCTCCCTCCGCCCTGCTTCACCCCTCCCTATGCCCTGCTTCACCCCTCCCTCCGCCCTGCTTCACCCCTCCCTCCGCCCTGCTTCCCATGGCCCTCCGCCCTGCTTCCCCCCTCCTTCTGCCATGCTTCCCCCACCCTCCGCCCTGCTTACCCCCACCCTCAGAGAGGTGAGCGCCACGCACCACGTGAGCCTTTGATTTCCCCGGCCTGCCCCTCCTCTCCCTCGATCTCACCATCTTTCCTCTCCCTCCCCATGTGCCTCTCCTCTCCCTCCCCATGTGCCTCTCCTCTCCCTCCCCATGTGCCTCTCCTCTCCCTCCCCATGTGCCTCTCCTCTCCCTCCCCATGTGCCTCTCCTCTCCCTCCCCATGTGCCTCTCCTCTCCCTCCCCATGTGCCTCTCCTCTCCCTCCCCATGTGCCTCTCCTCTCCCTCCCCATGTGCCGCTCCTCTCCCTCCCCATGTACCTTTCCACCCATCGCTCATCCCTTTGTTTCCACTTCAAGCAGGACTAGTTCGGGCTCAGAGGAGTTTGGCAGCGTAAAGGGAGCAGCAGCAGGCTCAAGAAAGTGTTGAGCGAACCCTCAACAGCTAGAGCAGAAGACAACACTCGCATTTACCTTGAAATGTGTACACCATATTGCCCAAGTTGCATACCTCAGTGCTGTGCCCAGTTGCATCATGTAACACTGCTTTATCTATAGATGTAAGGTTTGCAAGTTACAGATGTTATCTACGTCATCAAAGCTATTGCATGCGCTGGAAATCTTGTATGAACTGTTGTAATATGCTACCGGTATCAGATCGTTTGATTGATACACTAATGCCACACACAAGCCGGTACAACTGTATACTGGTATTTGGTTCCACCAAGGTGCAAAGAGCTTCACTCAAGAACAAGAGGGCTGGATGGATGTCCATTGTGGTGCTGTCGTGGAAATAAAAACAGAAAGGAGAGGAGAAACAGAGGGTAAGCTGGAGGGTTAGGAAGGGTGAGCAGGCGGGAGGAAAGGAAGGAAGGGTAAGCCAGGGGGGACCATAATGAACAGCAGGGGGGAAATGAGGGGACGCAGGGGGGGAAATGAGGAGAAGCAGGGGCGAAAATGAGGGGAATCAGGGGCGGAAATGAGGGGAAGCAAGGGAGGAGGTGCGGAAGAGAGGACGGGAGCAAGGGAGGAGATTGGACGAGGGAGGGAACAAGGGACTAGCAGGGAGGGAATAGGGGGCTAACAGGGGGGAAGCAAGGGGCTAGCGGGGGGGTGGACAAGAGTATAGCAGGGGGAAAAGTAGGAGGAGATCGGAAGAGGGGGAGGAGGAGAAAAAGGGAGAGAAGGATTTGGGGGGACAGGGAAGATGGGAGAGGGAAGGGAGGAGATTGGATGAGGGGGGAGAGAGAGATGAGGAGAACGGTGGAGGGAGGAAAGGGAAGGGAGTAGATTGGACGAGGGAGGAGAGGGAATGGAGGAGATTGGAAGAGGGAGGAGAGGGAAGGGAGGAGCGTAAGGGGGTGGAGAGGAACAGGGCAAGCAGCGGGGGACAATGAAGGAAATGAGAGGGAGAAATTAGGGGAAGGAGAGGGGGGAAAGGAGGGGAAGCAGGGCTGGAAAGGAGGGGAAGCAGGGCTGGAAAGGAGGGGAAGCAGGGGCGGAAAGGAGGGGAAGCAGGGGCAGAAAGGAGGGGAAGCAGGGGCGGAAAGGAGGGGAAGCAGGGGCGGAAAGGAGGGGAAGCAGGGGCGGAAAGGAGGGGAAGCAGGGGCGGAAAGGAGGGCAAGCAGGGGCGGAAAGGAGGGGAAGCAGGGGCGGAAAGGAGGGGAAGCAGGGGCGGAAAGGAGGGGGAGCAGGGGCGGAAAGGAGGGGAAGCAGGGGCGGAAAGGAGGGGAAGCAGGGGCGGAAAGGAGGGGGAGCAGGGGCGGAAAGGAGGGGAAGCAGGGGCGGAAAGGAGCGTGTGCTGCGCGTCGTCAGCAGCGCGCGCTGCTCGTCGCCCGGGCTCCACCACTGATAGTCGCGCGGTCACGCGGGCTGCTCGTCACCCGGTGCGCGCGCTGCTCGTCGCCCGGTGCGCGCGCTGCGCGTCGCCCGGTGCGCGCGCTGCGCGTCGCCTGGAACGTGAGCTGCCACTAGATACCTGGAGCGGGTGCTTCTCGGCGACCGGTGCGTGTGCCAGGGGCTCGCGCGGTCCGCTCCTTCGCCCGTTGAGCGCTCTGCTCCACGCCCGGTGGGCGATTCGAGGGGACCGAATCGCGTCCGCTCTCTTCTAGACTGTTGTAACGCCTGAACTACACTACACTATGGTCGTTGAGCCAGTATTCTGAGGTGAGGATCGTAACGTTTCCTTTGTCGGCATCTCTTTACTGACATCAGTCTGAGTAGGTGGCGTTGTTAGTAGGACGTGCGGAGCTCTGGTTTTCTATTTCCCGTGAGCACAGTCGAGTTGAATCAGTTTTGCGAAGACTTTTAGTGCAGCCTCACTTTCCTTGTGCGTCGTAAGAGTGGGAGGGTGTGCGAAACCTTCTGATTGGCTGTCTTCTTCACTTCATGCGAACCACTTTTCGCTTTGGGTTGGTGGGAATCTCAGGTTTGGTATGCACGAAATGCCGAATTGCTCGCGGAGGTTTGTAGTTCTCGCCAAAGCCACACAACCGAAATAGGTTTCGCACACCCTCACCTACAGCCTATTTCAAACCCACATAACTTGAAACTTTACCATGCTGACCTCGGGCTTTAATTGATATCTAACGGAAATCACACTGGCTTGTTCCTATGGCCTCTTATCAGGGCAACCTCCTGTCAAACTCGCGTCGCACCGCTCTGTAACGCACGTTATCGCATTCGATCGCACTGCAACGCATTGAACCACACACACACGTCCGACAAGAGGTGTGTCTGATAAGAGGCCGTAGGAACACACCCTTATTGCTGACATATGAGGTGAAAAATCTGCCAGATAATTTGAAGTGGAGTAGGGAAGGTACCTTATGATTGTCATGACACCATGTTTTCCACGTGTGTAGACAACACATCCAGATGGTTTTATCGAATCTGCTGCTGAATGCACTGTTGGAGGAGGGTTTCGGGTTTAGGGTTCGCAGCTCATCAAATTACTCGTCCAATGAATACAAACCCATTAAAATCAGCTCTGTGTCTCATGTACAATCAAATCCTCAAAGAAAAGCAGCCTGCGTCCTTGCCAGAGGAATACTCTGGTCCTTATTTCACGCTGGGTGACAAAAAGGCCCACATGCCAAGTCACCCAGGTGCAGAGGAGCACAGCTAAAAAAAAACCCTCCATCTACAATCACCCCACCAAAAAATCTGAAGATACCGCAGACGCTTGACTAGCATGTATAAGTGTTGCACCCCTTGGCTCCTAGAGCGAGAAGAACTTGCGGAGGCCGTTGGGGCGGACCATGGCGGGGTTGGTGGAGAAGAAGAGGGTGTTGGCCACCTTCTGGTTGACTGCCTGCGTGGGGTTGCGCGCATCCCACCACACCGCCTTGCTAGGCGCCGCACACGCCGCTCCCGTCACCGCTGCCTTGCCGCTCCCGCTGCTCTCCGCACATGCCACCACCACCCCCGTGCTTGTCACCGCCTCGCAGCACGGGTGCGTCTGGTTTGTCAGGCCTGAGGGGGATGGGGGTATAGGGATGAGTTGAGTGTTCAAGGCAATGTCATAATGGGAGAGAGAGAGGTAGAAAAGCTTGTGGGTTGGAGGTTTAGTGCGGGTAATTGGAAAACGAGGAGGGAGAAGGACCGGAGGGAGAGAGATTGGGAGCAGAAAGTGAGGAAAGAGGGAGTGGGGAGGGAGAAGGGGGAGAGTAGGAGGTTTACCAGAGGTGGGGACTTGGATCATGGTCTTGAAGACGGCTGATTGCTTGAAGAGCACCAGGTTCGGCATGGGCAGGGCGGGGTTGTTCCTCAGCTTGTCTGTCTTCGTCAGTAGTGCGTAATTGTGGATAATGGTAACCTGGTTACCAGCGTCCGTGCAGCTGATTCCACTTCCCGCCGCGCGGCGCACGGCGGGAATGCAGCCGAGATTCGGCTGGTCGATAATAACAATGTTGGAGGAACCGGTGAGGTTGTAGAGAGACTGAGTGATGCTTATAACGAGGTTGGACACGGAGGAGGCAATGGCGACGAGGGTCGTCATGTTGGGCTGTGCACGGCTGAGCTCAGGGATGTAGTCGTTGGCGCCTATGCTCACCACGAACAATGCCTCGTTTACCTTCTGCCACACGGAAATATGAGTGGAAAGGAAAACATTAGAGGGAAAATTTGGACAAAAGGCTAGGAGAATCAACGGGAAAAAGAGACAATAATGGAAAGGAAGCAGAAGGGATTCTGAAGCGGTGGATACAGACGAAGTTGAGTGGGAGGGGCGAGAGTAAGGCGTCACTGGAAAGCTTACGAGGTCGGGGTTGTTGGTGCGCTTGGCCTCGTTGAACCACTTTTTGAAATCGTTGAACTGCTGCTGCAACCCGCGCGTCTGCCGCCATAAGCACACGACGAGAAAGGGAAACGGCGAGAAGACAGACGGCGGTTAGATTGCTGGATCTTCGAATCAAATCTGACATTCGCTACCAGGATTGCGTGGAGAACAAGGGCACGGCATGAGGTGATGCCGTGCTTTACTCTAGGCGAAAAGGGGAGGGCGTGACGGGGATGGAGAGGGAAGCACCTTGCCGCCGTTGGTGCCGGATTTGGCGCCGGCGCCAACCATGGCGTAGTCGAGGCCAGTGAAGGGAAGCGACGCATTGCGGGGCGCGAGATCGGCGCGCGGCGAGCCGATCGCGAGGAAGTCGGCTGTTGGAAGAAAGAGAGACATGAGGAGGAAAATCAGCTTGCCAAGCTGGTTGAAAATGCATACCAAAAAGAGGGACAAAATGACGACTTTTACTCGGAACTCGCCGTTTTCGTCCGCGAGGGAGAAGGGTCGAGCATGGCCGATTCCGTACCAGGTAGCACCACTACTACTAAGCCACATGCTACCGAGTTCGTTTCTTCAAAGGGACCCCCCCTCGATGGCAATTTTGGGATGTACAAGCAGGTGACGCACAGGTAGTTGACGACGAGCTGCTGTCGGAGAACGATTGAGCATGACAGTTTCGCGCAAAGAAACAGAATCCTGGCGCTGCTACCTCCGAGATTGTCGTACCGAGGTAGTCGACGATGAGCATAGTAACGGAATTTCAGCGCGGACTCGTACCGAGGTAGTCGACGACGAGCTTGCCGTCGGAGAAGCGGCCCGAAGCGGGCTTGAAGTTGACGCCGTACGGCAGCTTGTTGGCCTTGACGGGCGCGCGGTTGAAGTAATTCGCGTTGCCCACGTCCGCCGACTCGTCGCCGAACACGTACATCTGCGAGATCTTCGCGGCCGTCGCGGCGCGCGCGACGCACGCCATGAGCGCGGCGAGCAGAAGCAGAGAGAGTCTTGCAGCCATGTTGATTCTATCAGCGCGGAGACAAGTGGGATGGGTTGTACTGCAGGCTGAGAAATAATGGATTCGGAGTCACGTGCGGTGCAGTACTACCAGTAGTAGCAGTACGTGTGATACGATGGTAGAGGCGTGGAGATGCTTGGCTTGGAGCGGAGCGAGAAATTGAAGAGAGAGTGGGCACACACGGTGGTATTTGAACTTGGATAACTCGGGTTCTCGCGTCGCGCAGGTGGGGTCCCATGGAAGAACCCGGTCGGGTCCTTATCTCCCAATGTGGCTGCTTGCGGCTTGCGCTGTTCATAGAAAATGTGGAATTTGGAATAGTTGTGTTCGAATGTCCGTGTGGGAAATCGTGGTGGTTTGTTAGAAGAAGAGCTGTGGTGGGGGGGGGGGAGATCAGATTTGTGCAAAACGAATCAGGATACATTTGAGAACGAAAACATCGCGAGTATTCGTGAGCCTATTGCCAGCTCTATGTGTTGTCGTCACAATTGATGAACAGGCTCGCGAAGCAGCTCAGGCAGACACAACACTTTCGCCACATGGACAAGTATGGGACGGGAGCCGCTGCGACTCGGCATGAAATGGGATGGGATGCGAGCAATGCGCGGTTCGAAAGGGTTATGCCTCCCGTACATCTCTCTCCTGTCCCGCAACCAACCGTACATCTCCCTCGCCTCCTCCTTGTGGCGGTTCTAGGTGCAATGCGGTTTTAAGGGTCTTGTATGACACACATACTGGTGCCTGGGCATATAACAGGGATGAAGAAATGCGACGTGAAATCCGCCACTATCGCCTGTAACGGGTATCGAACATTGGGTTCGCGTATAATATGAGGCCTCATGAAATGGGGGTAGGAAACAGATTTATGTTGCTGCTTAGTAAATTGGACATACTATATTCACTCCCTTTTACATATAATAAAACACAAGCTTGCAGACAACTTTTTTAGTTCAAACTAATTGCAGATGAATTGCGGCGGATAACGCCTGCTATTAATGCTTATGGTGTGCAAAATGACAGGTGACAGACACATCAGGTGTGCATGTTGTTGATGGGTGTCACAGCGTCCAATCGAGAGTGATCCAGAGTGGGAACGAGATCCGATGCGATGCGTATGAGGTCGAGAAACTCATAGTCCCACAACATCTCGCCATCGTAGGCATAGTACTCCTGCAGGGAGCAACAATGTGCAGGGGTGGAGAGGGGTGCAGCAACATAAAGAATGGTTGAGAGGTAGATGACAAGGTGCAGAGGAGGTCGAGGAACTCATAGTCCCACAGCATCTCGCCATCGTAGGCATAGAACTCCTGCAGTGTGCAGAGCATGCAGAGAGCACGGATGGAGAGGGTTGCAGCAGACAGTGGAGTGGTGCTGCAAAAATCAGTGGAGTGGAGTGCAGGAGGCATGCAGAGTATACCACATTCATTCGCCTTGACTGCGTTGACTCACCTTGACTCACCTTGACTCACCTTGACTCACCTTGACTCACGTTGACTAGCCTTGACTCACGTTGACTCGCCTTGACTCACGTTGACTCGCCTTGACTCACGTTGACTCACCTTGACTCACGTTGACTCGCCTTGACTCACGTCGACTCGCCTTGACTCACCTTGACCACGAACACCGGCTGCATGGATGAGCGTTCAAGGCCTGAGATGGTGAGGGAGAAGGACGCATCTGCTGCCAGCAGGTCGCTCAGAGAGAGCCCGTGCAGGGGACTGGCCTCGTTCACTGTGTGGCGCAGCAGAAAGCCAAACTTCAGGTAGGGTATCTGGAAGAGAGGGCGGGGGGATGACAGGGGGTGTGATCATTCATAACAAGTGAGTGCAGCGGATTGAACAGCGGGTGAGGTAGTGAGGGAGAGGCCGTGCCGGGGACTGGTGTCGCTCACAATGTGCCGCAGCAGAATTCCTAAGTGCAGTAGGGAATCTGGGGAGGGAAGGGGAGGGGTGGTAGGAGGCGTGGTGTGAACAAGGTGCACCACGGGACAGCAGGTCACTGAGTGAGTGGCCGTGCAAGGGATTGGTGTCGCTCACAATGTGCCGCAGCAGAAAGCCAAAGCGCAAGTAGGGAATCTGGGGAGGGAGGGGGAGTGGTAGGGGGTGTGATGTGAACAAGTGGCACTGGACAGCAGGTGGGGCAGTGAGAGGACACGCAGGGGAGAGGCCTCGCTTCGTCTACTACGTGCCACAGCATGAAGCCGAAGCGTAGGTAGGGAATCTGCAAGGGAGGACGAGGGGGATAGTGGAGGGTGTGATCATAACAAGTAGCATTGGACAGCAGGTGGGACAGTGAGAGGGCGTGCGTGCAGGGGACTCGCTTCGTCTACTATGTGCCACAGCATGAAGCCGAAGCGTAGGTAGGGAATCTGCAAGGGAGGACGAGGGGAAGGGGTGCAGAGGCAGTGCCAGTGGCAGTGACAGCAACACCATCCACCTCGGATCTCACGAGCTGCAGGGAGCAGTGCAGTGCACACTTCCGGAGGAGAAGAGGAGGGTGGAGCGGGTTAAGAGAGGAAGGCAGAGGCAGGGCCAGTGGCAGTGGTATTGCATTACCCACCTCGGATCTCGCGAGCAGCAGGTCATGCAGGCAGGAGGGCAGGGAAGCAGAGACAGGGCCACTAGCAGCAGCACCACTCACCTCGGACCTCACTAGCTCTAGGTCATGCAGGCAGCAGTGCACACCCCGGGAGGGGGTGACAGGGTGGAGCGGAGCAGGTATAGAGAGTGAGGCACAGGCAGGCCAGTGGCAGCAGGGCTAGTGGCAGCAGCACCACTCACCTCGGATCTCACTAGCTCTAGGTCGTGCAGGCAGCAGTGCACACCCCCGGAGGCGGAGGGGAGGAAGAGGCGCAGCGAGAGGGAAACTTTCACGTTCACCAGCTCGTGAGTGTTCAGCCCCACTAGTGCAAACCGCCCTGTGAGAATCCTGCAGTCCATGTGTGCGAGCCAGCAGCACAGAGGGGTGAGGGAGGCGTGTTTCTTATTGAGTGAAAGAGGCACATTCACCAGTGTTCAGCCCCACCAGGGAGAACCGCCCTGTGAGAATCCTGTTGTCAGGTGCAAGCGGGAAGCACAGAGGGGCGAGGGAGGCGTTTTTCTTATTCAGAGAGAAAGGCACATTGGCCAGCGCGAGTGTGTTCAGTCCCACCAGGGCAAACCGCCATGTGAGAATTCTGCAGTCCATGTATGCGAGCGAGGAAGGCACACAAGAGCAAACCGCCATGTGGGAATTCTGCAGTGATTTTGCGAGCAAGCAGCGGAGAGGGGTGAGGGAGGTATAGTTTTCGCTCGGAGGGTATCCATGTGAGGGAGAAGAGTCCAATGGAGAAGAGTCCAATGGAGAAGAGTCCAATGGAGAAGAGTCCAATGGAACCCCACTTAGGAGGCATGACTTTGCGTGGCAGCAGCTTGTTTAGTTAACAATGTGGTTGGGGTGAGGGAGGTTACTTTTCGCGGGACGGAGTCCGTGCGAGGGAGAAGCGTGGGGATGCGGACTGGAAGAGAGGGTGTAAGGGGAAGGAGGGAGGACGGATATGGTGACAGGGGATAGAGGAAACAGGAACACTGGGAACGCACAAAACAACAGATTAAGAACCTCTATCCCAGTGTTCCTGCACCAGGAGGGAACGCTCTGCACCACAGCACCACCCCTCCTCCTCTCCTCACCACTTTCTCTCCTCACCTCTTCTGCACCTCACCTTCTCTTCTCCGTGCCATGGCCGGCCAAGGCCTGAGTGGCAACCGTGACGAAGCGAGAGCACCGCACCGTCTCCGCTGGGCGGCCGATGCGAGCGAAGACTGGCGATGGGAGGGGAGAGGAAGGGAAGTGGGAGTAAGCACAGCACGCGCAGCACAGCACAGCACCCGCAGCACAGCACAGCACAGCACAGCACAGCACAGCACAGCACAGCACAGCACAGCACAGCACAGCACAGCACAGCACAGCACAGCACAGCACAGCACAGCACAGCACAGCACAGCACCACACCGCACAGCACAGCACAGCACCGCACCGCACCACACCGCACAGCACAGGGTCAGAGTGACAGAGTGCAGAGACACACTCAGCTGAGCACATGGGCACCCACCTGCAAGCACCCACCTGCAAGCACCCACCTGCACCGCTGAGGAAGACGAAGTTGAGCTGCGAGAGCAGCGTGAGGAGGTTGGCAAGCATAAGCGCAGGGGGCGAGAGCACCTGCAGGGGCGAACCCCCGAATGTGGTGCAGAGAGAGAGGCTGTGAGGGGCGGGGAAGGAGAAGAGGGGAATAGAAAAGAAGACAGGGGGGTGGTTGGGGTGGGGGGGGGGAGAAGGGGATAAGCAAGGAGAGAAGGGGAGGGAAAAGACACATGGGGTAAGGAGAGAAGGGGATAAGCAAGGAGCACCTGCAGGGGCGAACATCCAAACGTGGTGCAGAGAGAGGCTGTGGGGCGCGGGGGGGGGGGAGAAGAGCAGGGGAGGGAAAAGACACATGGGGTAAGGAGATGCGGGCATCAGACAGAACCATGCACCCATGCACCCATGCACCCATGCACCCATGCACCCATGCACCCATGCACCCATGCACCCATGCACCCATGCACCCAGGCACCCATGAACCCCATGCACCCATGCCACCCATGCACCCATGCACCCATGCACCCATGCACCCATGCACCCATGCACCCATGCACCCATGCACCCCATGCACCCATGCACCCATGCAACCCATGCACCCATGCACCCATGCACCCCATGCACCCATGCACCCATGCACCCATGCACCCATGCACCCATGCACCCATGCACCCATGCACCCATGCACCCATGCACCCATGCACCCCATGCACCCATGCACCCATGCACCCCATGCACCCATGCCACCAGGCACCCATGCACCCCATGCACCCATGCACCCATGCACCCATGCACCCATGCACCCCATGCACCCATGCACCCAGACCCATGCACCCATGCACCCATGCACCCATGCACCCAGGCACCCATGCACCCATGCACCCATGCACCCATGCACCCATGCACCCATGCACCCATGCACCCATGCACCATGCACCCATTGCACCCATGCACCCATGCACCATGCACCCATGCACCCATGCACCCATGCACCCATGCACCCATGCACCCATGCACCCATGCACCCATGCACCCATTGCACCCATGCACCCATGCACCCATGCACCCATGCACCCATGCACCATGCACCCATGCACCCATGCACCCATGCACCCATGCACCCATGCACCCATGCACCCATGCACCCATGCACCCATGCACCCATGCACCCATGCACCCATGCACCCATGCACCCATGCCACCCATGCACCCATGCACCCATGCACCCATGCACCCATTGCACCCATGCACCCATGCACCCATGCACCCATGCACCCATGCACCCATGCACCCATGCACCCATGCACCCATGCACCCATGCACCCATGCACCCATGCACCCATGCACCCATGCACCCATGCACCCATGCAACCCATGCACCATGCACCCATGCACCCATGCACCCATGCACCCATGCACCCATGCACCCATGCACCCATGCACCCATGCACCCATGCACCCATGCACCCATGCACCCATGCACCCATGCAACCCATGCACCCATGCACCCATGCACCCATGCACCCATGCACCCATGCACCCATGCACCCATGCACCCATGCACCCCATGCACCCATGCACCCATGCACCCATGCACCCATGCACCATGCACCATGCACCCATGCACCCATGCACCCATGCACCCATGCACCCATGCACCCATGCACCAGCACCCATGCACCCATGCAACCCATGCACCCATGCACCCATGCACCCATGCCACCCATGCACCATGCACCCATGCACCCATGCCCCATGCACCCATGCACCCATGCACCCATGCACCCATGCACCCATGCACCCATGCACCCATGCACCCATGCACCCATGCACCCATGCACCCATGCACCATGCACACCCATGCACCCATGCACCCATGCACCCATGCACCCATGCACCCATGCACCCATGCACCCATGCACCCATGCACCCATGCACCCATGCACCATGCACCCATGCACCCATGCACCCATGCACCCATGCACCCATGCACCCATGCACCCATGCACCCATGCACCCATGCACCCATGCACCCATGCACCCATGCACCA